TGGTGATTTATACCTCATATTTAGAGGTTTAGTATCTAAGAAAAAATTTTAATAGTTCAAAGCTATGGAAAATTGATTACTCGGAAAATTAAAGAAAATGTGACGTGGTGTCCTTTATCTTCCATGTACAGATATGGTAGCTAAGAAACAAATTTTAAAAATTCAAAATAATGAAAAATTGGCTCCCTTGAAGATATTAAAAAATGGATATGGTGTTTTTTACCTAAGGATTCAGGTTTACTATCTTTTTTGAAAAAAAAAATTTTTATTGAGAAAAAAATACATTTTGCCTCAATTAAGGCAGGGCATTGAGTATTTAGGATGTATGAAACACGAAAAAAGTAACAAAAAAAAAAAACATAGAAAATTATAACAAAAGAAAAGAAAAGAAAACTTGGAATAACAGAATAAATTAAATATGAGAAAACAATAAATAAATACAAAATTTAAAAAAAACAGTGGAAGATAAGGCAAGGCTCCAAGAGATCCCAGCGCTTCTCACTCAGCCATATCACTAGGATGGGAATCCAGTTGTTATTATCAAACAAACAAATTTTAATAGCTCAAAATGATGAAAAATCGGCTCCCTTGAAAAAATTAAAAAATGGATATGATGTTTTTTACCTCTAGGATACAGGTTTATTATCTAAGGGACGGATTTTAGTAGCTGAAAATAAAGAAAAATTAGCTCCCTTGAATAAATACAAAAATGGATATGGTGTTTTATACCTCCGAGGTATAGGTTTATTAGCTAGAATATAAATTTTAATAGCTCAAAATAGTGAACAATTGCCTCCCTTAAACAAATACAAAAATGGATATGGTGATATCTACCTCTGGGCTAGAGATTTGGTATTTAAGAAAAAAGATTTAGGCAGTGAAAGTTAGGTAAAATTGACTCCTCGAAAAAATAATTTAATGTCTCATGATGTCCTTTACCACCGGGGTATTGGTTTAATACCTAGAAACAAAATTAAATAACTCAAAGTTATGGAAAATTTGCTGCCTGAATAAATACAAAAATGGACATGGTGTTATTTATCTTCTGGATACAGAATTATTCTATGGAATTTTCGATTATATACTTTTTTTGGATACAAATTTTATATCCATATAAAACTCGGTACCGTTGTATAAATGCCACTCCATCTTATTCAGTGAGCAAGGATCTTAAAATTGGAGTGTTGATTGTCTTTAACTTCATGGCTGGATTTAGACTCTTGTTCACTTCGCTCACTCTAAATGAATAGATAAACACACAACTGGTCATTTTTAGTGGAAGTCAGGGCCATACTATAGTTTTTTCAAACTACTTTCGGACGCACTCGGGTATTCTCGGGATTCTATTTATGGTGTGATCTTGTGCCAACCATGAAAGTGGAGAGACATTTGTAAAGTTGCACCTAAAACTCCATTAATCTGATAGCACTATAGTTTAAATGTTGTTTGGAATCATTATTAAGCATATTTCTCGGAGTTCTGTCTCTTATCATGTTGCAGATCTGTCCTATAAAAGGTATTCATTCAAGTTAAAAGAAAAAATTACAATGATTTACGATGAGAGAATCAGATACAAGTTTAAGAACTAATAAAATTTACAGCAACAACGTAGGAGGAAAAAATATAAAATATGAGATGCTCCAGTTGGGCTTGGATCTGGTATTTTTTTTTCAGCGAACGAGGAAATATTGAATTAATGTTAATCGCCTGATTAAAAATTCATAATTCAAAACAAAATGTCGAGCCTAATAAATCATAACTTGTTTTATACATGCTAGGAATGTTTGAATATACCAACAATTTTTATCAATTATATCGGTATTTTTGGACTTTATCATTTGTATAGATATTCTGGTTTTTAAGTTTCAGGGGAAAATACTTCACAGATGTGAAATTCAACACTATACTTTTTGTCTAGTAATATAAGATTCTTACAGTGAATAACAATGAATGCCTCAATAGAAGACAAATGAACACGTTGCAGGCCCAAACGGAGATGGATAGATCGAATCGAAAAAAAATGAAATGTAGCTACATGCAGATAAATAGCCCAGAGAAATGTAGGGAAAGAAATAGCCCAAAATAGACAGAGATGGATTAGGCTTGTTACGAAGACAAAAGATCTAAATATCTGTAATGCCAACAGAAAAAAAAATTACATTCCTAATACAATTAGTCCGTGATACAGACCCCTTTTTATCAAATTATTAACATCCGCCTGAAACTTGGTAAATAGCTTCATCTCATCGTAACCTACAAATATTTTTTTTACGAAAATTCTTGGAATAGGGGCGTTTTCAATCTGGAGGTTGGCAAACTTTGTCTGTTTAACTCGTAAGTGCCTATTTGTTTTCCACTTTAATCGTAAGCTAACTTAAGCATAAAGTCGAGAAAAAAATAAATACTGAATCGTTTGGCGTGTATAACCTCTTTATTTTGACAATTTAGGTCACGCTAAATGAATCAATATTTTTGAAGGCCACATTTTTTCTCGACTTTGTGCTCAAGTTATCTTATGATTAAAGTGGAAAGAAAATGGGATTTTACGTATTTTTAGTACCTAATAAATACAAACAGTTTGCTGACCTCTATTTTGGAAAACGTCCCTCTTCCGAGAATTTCGTAAATACAATATTTATAGGTTACGATGAGATGAAGCCATTTACGAAGTTTCAGCCGGATTTTAATAATTTGATAAAAAGGGATCATTACCACGGACTAAATTTGTATGTCTGTTCAAATGTATGATTTTTAGTTGTCTATTTTCTTTCTGTATTTTTAAAAACTTAAAAAAATGTATTTTCCTGGAGTGGGGAAGAATCATCTTTAACCACATCACGTCAATGTTTGTAGTCAAATAATCTATTGGATGTTTTGGAAGCTCGTTACTATTCTCCCAGGAATTGCTCATCAGAGCAGCATAGCTTTTCTGAGGTTTATTTATTGTGGCTATTGACAGACCCAACTTCTAAGTAGCTTCTACAGTGGACTTTGGAATCAGCCCATTGCTAGACATCACTAAAGCCCTTACTGTCACTTTTTCCAGTCTGTTCAGATCTTTTAACTCGGCTGCAAGAGTTTGATATTTCCGTTTTTTTTCGGCGCAGACGGAATTGCTGTTTCCATCATTTGGTACAGCGATATCTATTATCTGAGCTGTCTTCATATTGCTATAGATCAACACGATATCAAGTCTATCATGGATCATGGTATTGTCTGTTATAAAAGATTAATTCCAAAACAATTTTATTCCTTCCTAATGGATAAGTTCTTTAGGGTTGTACTCATAATAAGGTATCGAATCATTCACTAACTTTGTTTTTAAGCCAATTACCTGATGATAAATTTTTGCAACATCGTCGTGTCTCTTGAGGTGTTCTGTACCAGCCAGCACTCCGCACCCTCCAGTTATGTGCTGAATTAAATCGAGCGTACTGGCACAGAGCCTTGTCTAGTATTGCTAAAAATCGACCTTGCAAAATCAAAACCAAGGCCGCCTAACCGTAGCAAGACCAAGACCAGGATTGTTAAAAATAATTGATTTTAAAAAAAAAATAAGGCAAAATAGTTATTAATACTTGAAAATCTTAGTTACTGTACGTTAATAATTGATATAAACAATATACTTTTGCATTTAACTCCTATAATTTTTCATTCGAGCTTAGTTAGGTTTCTCCTATCTAAAAAATTACAGTAGTATGTCTATAGTAATAATGTAATGATTAACTGCAAGTCTGTTGAGAGACTCTTGCGCAAGACCAAGACCATTGCCAAGACTGAATTTGCAAGACCAAGACTGTCTCGGTCTCGCATTTGGGCAGCACAAGCCTTGTCTGATACAGTATCATTGTATATGATACTTCAAGACGAGTCGCAAGACCTCTTTGCCTGATCTTGCTGTCAGAAAGCCCTCTGTCTCGGAAAACAGATTTCCTTTAACCAGGCAACTAGTATTATTATTATTATGTAGTATTTCTTTCATTATTATTATTATTGTTACTGATTAAATAATAACCTTTAATTCGGCCCCGCATTATATATTGGGACCGAACATTAAACGGGGTTAGATAAAACGTATTTTACTTAAGAACTTTTAGTAACGAAGACAAATGGGGATTCATTTTCTTGAAGATCAAGTTTCCGGGATCGTTCTACTGAAGGATGGCTTTCCTCCTCGTAAAACGGGAGTTATAGCTACAACGGGAGGTTATTGATTTTCTGGACTAACACTAAGAATCAGTGGCTGAGGATACGGGCTGTTTAAGTCCATAACTATAATGAATAGATTCCTAATATATTATTATTATTTTTTTTTTTTTGGAAAACCGTAATTCAAAGCATTCAAGATTCACAAGTCATAAATACTTTTTTGCGATATACATGGAATTTTTCTCCTTCAAAATATTAATCAACATTACTATATTCACGTTCTTAATTAAACAAAAAGCAACCAGCAAAGTCCTGAAGGAGTTGACAGAAGAATGCGAGTCTTGGAGAGTTGTAGTAAAAGAGGAGTGGTTTATATTAAATGTGATGATACGAAAATATTTAAAAAATCAAAATAAAATGGCTCAAAAATTAATAAATATACATCCATATTCATTCAGTTCAAATCTTCTACAGGTGACAGTCTTCAGTTGTGGTAGTAATTGTCACGATATTGTGACTCCGGCAATTGCATAAATGGCGGATATAAAACTGCTTATTTCATAATTATTATTATTTAAACGAAGGCAACGCATTTTTTATAAAGTATTCGGTGAGGTATCTTCCTTATATCTAGAAATCTTGCAAATAAGCAATAAAAAAAAATAAGGTGTGTGCATTAGATTACACAATATGAATATGAATTATAAATTATGAATAATAGCTCATTATAAATAGGATGAAATGTTGAAAATTTCTCTCGCTTAGAGTATGCAGGTCCTATTTTTATTTTCTGAGATATTTTAATCTATATCAAAGGGAGGAGATGGTCCGGGGTGGCGGTCATAAATAGGCTAAATAGCGGCAAAACTATTTTATTAAAAGCCAACGTTTCGACCCGACTTTGCAGGTCTTCTTCGGGGAGGTGTGTTCAGCTAGGAGTTTCACTTTTAATAAAATAATTTTGCCGCTGTTTGGCCTATTTATGACCGCCACCCCGGACCATCTCCTTCCTTTATAATGCAACGGTCAACTATTTAATATTCAATGTAATCCATATTTTCTATAAAACTTGTAATCGTTTGTTTTTCAACATTATTGTTTCCTTTTCACCTTTCTAACACGGTGTTGCGTTAAGATACAATTTTGAATTATAGCCTATTACAGAGTGGATGAAATACTGAACAAATTTCTCGCTTACAGTATGCAGGCCCGATTTTTATTTTCTTAGATATTTTAATCCATATGAAAAAACTTTTCAATTAGTTGCCTCTAGCCGACATTACCCGAGCATTAACACAGGTAATAATTCCAATTTAATAACATGTAATAATAATGTTTATAGTAGGTTGTCTGATAAATAAGAAAATAGATTAAAGCAATTTAAACGTAATGTATGTACAATTTATTTCCTAATGCCACTAACGCACTTTTCATAATACCGAGTTTACGTCGCTTTTCTCTTAACTCCTTCACACGTAATTTATTGTATATAACACTTTGTCGTACATTAAAATAATGTTTAAATAAACATGTAAGGTGTACATTTCTCTAAAAAAAAACATATATCTTACAAGATTCACTATTAAATTAACGCCAATTTTCGCATATTAGTGTTATGTAATAGTATTTCAATATTCACACCATGAGGTTTCTGTAACAAATTTAAGTAAAGACATAATGACAGCTATAAACCTAATATTTTTTTTTTCTTAGTAAGTAAAACAAAAAAATATTATCACCTTTCCGGTATAAACAATGCCATCAAATGTATCTCTAGAGGTTTAGGATCCGTAATATTGGTTAAAGTACCTATATCCAATCACTCTCAAACGAAATTATTTTTAAAAAATCTCCATTGTTAAGGTTTGCAAGGCTTTTTCACTAGGTCCTGAGGTATCGTTGTTCCCACGAAAGAGAAAATCATTTTTAAAATAAGAAAAAAAATAAAAATACTAAAATAAAAAGCAAACGAAAAAAAAAATGTCACTAAATTTTATAAGGAATAATTTCTTGCAGTATTAAAAAAAAACTAAATAAGGAAATATAAGCTTCCTTTTTTAAATTAATTGGTTGGAGGAATTCGAATATTTGCATAACCAGTTGGCAAATCTAAAATTATTAACGTTAAACATAATTAATTGTATATTTTATTTCTGTTCACCTCCAAAGTCCATTTTGAGGAAAGTAGCGACAACCTGTCAACAGTGTTATAAAGTAATTCAAACTCATGCAAAACAAAAAAAAAAAAATCGTAGTAAAAAATTAGTATCTGATTTCTATCGCTCAGTTCGTTTTACATGTTCCGAAGTGAGTTTAAAGAATTATTTTTTTGTTATTGCTGATGATATGAAGAAATATAAAACAGTTAAAAAACCAACGGAACCGCCAAATTTCATTCAAATATATGATAATTATTTTTTAAATTATAAAATTAATATCTCTTATAAATTATAAATAACTTCTTTAAGGTATGTCTTCAGTACCAAGTCGTTTCAATAACTCAATTTAGAAGAACAGCAGAATTGTGAAAATTGCTAGATAAAAAAAAAAAGAACATAAATAAACCTTGAAAAAACCATGAGAACTTTCGAAATTAATCATTATATTTAAGGTATCATTTTTTCAAAAAATTGCTATCGAAGTTCATCTCATTTGATCCGTAGAAGTTGCTGGAATCAATCTAATATTAAATTCAGAATGTTTAGTAAAATAAAAGAGATTATAAAATTTTACAAATACATCTAATATGCATTTAAACGCTCCATACTTAGATTCGAATCAGATTGCAATATTAAAACTGAGCCAATATTAAATTCGAAATAAAAAAGAATATCAATTTTCTTTTTGTTTACGAATTGGTGGATTCGCAAACAAAAAGGAAATTGAATTTTTTTCGTGGTCAATGCCCTATTATTTTTCATAGTAGACGATTCTGTTTATATGTTTTTTATCATAATTACAAAATATAATGGAAATCATCTATCGAAATAAGATTTCGGTTATAGTTATGCATTTTATTTTAAAATATAATATTTCTGTAGCTTGATTGAAAAACCAAGGTCAGAATTTACATTTCTGAGATGTGACATTTGCAGGTGAATAGCAATCATTGAATAGACTTAATCTTTAAAAGAGTTTTGGTTTCGTAAATTGAAATGCCAATAAAATCTATCAGAAAACGACAATGTTAGTTTAATTTTTTATAGTTTGCAAAATCAATTTTCTTTTAAACTTTGAATGATTTTTTGGCTTTCATTTACCCTTACATAAAATATTTTGCTGCCTAGCTCAAAACTGAATACGTACGTACGAAACTTATTAAGGTACACATATTAGTCCGTCGGACAGACCCCTTTTTTTATCGAATTATTAACATCCGCCTGAAACTTTGCAAATAGTTTTATCTTATCGTAACTTACAACTGTCGTTACTTACGAAAACTCTTGCAATTGGGGCGTTTTCAATCTGGGGGGAGGGGGCAAACTATTTAGTTAGGTACTAAAAACTCGTAAATACCCATTTTGTTTCTATTGGAATCGTAAGATAATTTGATCTCAAAATCGAGAAAAAAGGTGGCCTTCAAAAATATTGAACCGTTTGGCGTGACCTATACCCCCGAATTGTCAAAATAATCAGGTTATGTATTGGCGAAAGCAGTAAAGGGTGTTGAAATATTTTTTTAAGAAGAAACAGAGTTGAGCTTTGTATTTCGCAGCCCCTAAGACCCTCGAATACGAATTTTCATTACGATCGACAAATAATTTTTTTTTCTACAGATTTCACGAAATTTTGCAGGCATATAGGGCCTTATAAACTACACGACGTGACACAAACTGTGCCTTACTAAATAATTTAGAACACAAGTTATAAAATAAAAACCTGTTAAGAGCTTTGTTTCATTTACTTTTTATAGACATGTTAAATCAAAACGTTATTTATACGGTCATGAAGAGCGATAATTCAGTTTTCCAACGGTTGTAGAAACATTGAATTAGGATAAAATCCTTAGGAGTCGTGAATGTTTTAGTTAACGGCAGGCAAAAACATCAGAATGAAAAGTGAAGTCGTTGCCATGACGACTATCTTAGCACAGCTCTTCTATCCTATACATTATTTCTAAAAGGTTTGTTTTTGTCGGTACGCCATAAAACTTCATCAAATCCAATGATTGACCACTCATTTTGAAGATATACTTCTTCACATGCGAAAATTAGTCCATGCGTGGAAAAACGTTATGGAGAAAAAGAAACTTTATTTGTGAATAACTCAAAAAACATGAATTTTTTTCACGATTGTACCCATGATGATTAGAAAGATTACTAAATTATCTGCAAAACAAAAAATCCCGTAAAAATCGGACAATTATTAACAAAGATACAGTCCATTAGTTTTGGTATACTTAATAATGCCTTCCTTTTTAAATATATTGCATATAGGAGTAGAATAGTCTACTACACTTTTTTTCCTGGCTGATATATTAACTTTACTATTTCTTAAAGGTATTTGTTTGCTCTTACATTTTTTAGTTTTTTTTTTTTAATAATTTAGAAAATCACATGATCGGTGCGTTATTTTGTCATTATTACTTCTATTATCTTTCTATTCAGCGTTTAAAAATAGGTCTTTGCAAAACAATTTGTACAAATATTTTTGTCTATTATGTTTAATATAATATTGTAACCAACCAAGGAAAAAATATTAATTCCTTCCTTGCACAATAAATATGAACTACTTATTTCCATATTGTTTTGTTATTTCTTCACTAAACAAAATTTTCTTCGAATTATTCGCACGGGCCAACTATTAATATGAAATTTAAATTATAAATAATAGCCCATTGTGGAGAGGATGAAATGATAAAGAATTTCTTCGCATTCAGCATGCTGTTCCGACTTTTAGTTTCTGAGATATTTTAATCTATTAGTTAATAATTGAGCAAAAAATGTTCACTTAGTCGACTCTAGCAGACATTACACGAGCGTTATACATCGGAGATCTGACGGCTAAATCTAATTAACTATCCTAAAAAAAAGTGAGAAAAAAAATTGAAAAAAAAATTAATGATAAAAAAATGTATTGTGTGTTTATGCAACCGCCCATTTCAATCATTATATATTAGCTATATTTTGGTGAGGTATCATTGAGATACTTTATTTTTCTTTAATTTTTTTTTCGCATAAATGTGATGTTAGTTCTGTCCTGATTAAGTCTGAATTTGCGAAATGTTGGCAGATAACGCTTGGCGTCACGTACAATATTCTATTATATGTTGCTATTATTATATGTTTCTTATTTTATTATGTGCTTTATGCTGTATTTCTGTTTATCCGTGAGACAAAGAATGATCAGAACAGCTCAAAATCGCACTTCCTAAAATTGTACTTACAGGTTTTTGCAGGGTCGCTGTTAATATAATGATATGAATTAAGATTATTATCTACTCCCAAACAGGTTTTAATCTTAATCCCTCAGTCGCTGGCGAACTAAAACGATTTGCAAATATCATTTTGTGTTTATCCTCAGGGCATCATGTAATTATTTCTATGCTGAAGAGAAAATTACCCGGTTATTTGACTTATTTGAATCTGCAAACCGGATTGGATATAATTACAGTTGTGGTCTGGCTCATGGCAGGTGCTAATACAGTTGTCACCCATCACCAATAAATATGATTTTATTAAATCATGTATATAGGTATAAAAAAATATATATTCTGTTAATATATCAATTTTACATTGATACTAATTTATTTTCTTACATACAGCCTCATTCTGACGATTTTCGATGTGAGAAGTTTAAGGAATTATGTTTTCCTCTTTACTTCATTCATTGTTTAGTTTCTTTAGATTTGAACGTATTTTGTTAATGGTATAAGATACTTTACATTAATTTAAATTTACAACAATATACAACTGTATCATGAGGACTACTAAATCCAAATTGCTGCTCCTTGATACGGACTTTACATAACGTATACTTACATAATGACTTTCTGCAACCAACTATCGACAAACACATAAGTATTCTCGACTCCCGATGTGATATTAAACTACACGGACACAACAATATACTTATTAACTACACGGCCACCACTGAAGGCGACTGAAAAAGAGCTGGACGATAGATCTCCTTTCCTGAATTAAGGAACCAAATAACGACCAGGATGAGGTGCTGCTGGGTTCTTCTTCGGAAATGTCTTTTATAGTGTTCATCACGTCACATCTATTTATTGTCAAATCTATTTTATATTCTGTCTGTTGTTGGTCAGCTATAACTTTTTTTACTATTCTACCTATACTTAATAAAGAAAGTATTGCGATCGGGTCAAATTTCCGATATGCGGTTTTCGACTGATCTATATGTTTCAGAGCCCTCTCAGTCCAAAAACACATTTTTAGCCATTAATCTGTCTGTCTGTGCCAAGATTTTGTCGGTAACTAGTAAACCGATTTTGTTTCTTCTCTTTTTATTTTGTGGGGTTTTGACTACTGGTGCCTGTGACACGAATTGGTGCTCCATAGCTGCTGCGCAATAAATTTAAAACATGTATTTCTTTTGACTGCAGCGCGAAAACGGCTCTAATGATTTTGATGAAACTTTCCTATAATGTTCTAATAATTGTCCTTTCAATTTTCGTATATTGATTAAATTACCGAGAAAATTAAGGAAATAAGTTATAGAGAAAAAAATGTTTTGGGGCCTAACTCGCTTAGTATATATTCTATGTTAAAATTTATAAGACAACTTTTGAAAGATAATTAAATTACCCCCCCCCCAAAAAAAAAAATAAATAAATAAAAATTATCGGAATCGATCCAATATTAGCTATGATACAGGGTATTTTATATTCTACATATGTTTTAATTTATTATTTTCCTGCCTATGCTAGGCAAGTATTGCGATCGGGTCAAATTTCCGATATGCGGTTTTCGATGGATCAATTCGCTTCACAGTCCTCTGAGTCTGAAAAACTCATTATTGTTTGACAAAATTAGGCTATGGCAAAAAGTTTTTGATCAGAAATATTAAGTGGTATTGAAATTTTTACACTGATCTACTTTAAGCCGGTTTACATTGCTACAGTTTATCAAATAAATCGTACTCAAATGATTTCTTTGATCAATTTTCAGGAAAATAAATCTAATTAATTTTTTATAGGAAGGAGATAGAATGGAAGGTGAAAATTAAATAAATAAGTAAATAAAATTAGAAGAATAAAATTAGAGACTTACAGGTGTGTTCAGCTAGGACTTACAGGTGAGGGGAATTTGCTGACTTGTTTTATTCTCCTAATTTTATTTACTTATTTATTTTCTTTTTTCTTTTCTTTCTCCACATTTCTTTATGTCTACTATTTCATATTATATACTTTTTCCTTTTCTTTCAATCTCTCCTGTAGATCTGTAAATGTATATTCACATTTGCATTTATTATATATTACTCTACAACAATTGTTAGCATCTATTTACTTCAATTTAGGATCTTGTTACTTAGCTTACTCTGTTTATATTTTAATTCACTTACTGTTTATAATTTTAATAAGCTTATTCACATTGTTTATAATTTTTTGTCTAAATATTATGTAACTTCCACAATTCTCTATCTTTTTGTATCTAG